CACCCCAGGTGAGGCCACACCCCCCTCCCCCGTGTTCCCCTCCCCCCAGGTGTGTCCCCGTGTCCCCTCACCTGCGGGACTCCAGGTGTGTCGCTGTCCCTGTCCCCAGCTGTAGCCCCCAGGTGTCCCTGTCCCCCAGGTGTGTCCCCATCCCCAGGTGTGTTCCCCCTGCCCCGAGGTGTCCCCCAGTGTGTCCCTGTCCCTCCCCCCAGGTGTGTCCCTGTCCCTGTCCCCACGTGTCCCCAGGTGTGTCCCCAGCTGTCCCCAGGTGTGTTCCCGTCCCCAGCTGTCCCCAGGTGTCCCAGGTGTCCCCAGCTGTCCCCAGCTGTCCCCAGGTGTGTTCCTGTCCCCAGGTGTCCCAGGTGTCCCCAGCTGTCCCCAGCTGTCCCCAGGTGTGTTCCCGTCCCCAGGTGTCCCCAGGTGTCCCAGGTGTCCCCAGGTGTCCCCAGGTGTGTTCCTGTCCCCATCTGTCCCCAGGTGTCCCCATCTGTCCCCATCTGTCCCCAGCTGTCCCCAGGTGTCCCAGGTGTCCCCGGTGTCCCTCACCTGCGGAACTCCAGGTATTTGTAGGCGGTGGCGCCGATGCCCAGGGCCAGCAGGGCACAGTGCCAGCAGGTGACAAACATCAGGGACAGGCAGAGCAGGGCCCCCGCCAGGGACACCGACCTGGGGACAGGGACACGGACATGGGGACAGGGACATGGGGACAGCACAGGGACATGGGGACAGGGACAGGGACAGGGACAGGGACAGGGACAGGGACAGGGACAGGGACAGGGACAGGGACAGGGACAGGGACAGGGACAGGGACAGGGACAGGGACAGGGACAGGGACAGGGACAGGGACAGGGACAGGGACAGGGACAGGGACAGGGACAGGGACAGGGACAGGGACAGGGACAGGGACAGGGACAGGGACAGGGACAGGGACAGGGACATGGGGACAGGGACATGGGGACAGCACAGGGACATGGGGACACGGGGACAGGGACATCGACCTGGGGACATGGGGACACTCAGGCACAGGGACAGGGGGACAGCCTGCGGTCACTGCAATCACTCACTGGTCACTCGGGGTCACTCAGGGTCACTCGGGCTCACTGACCAGTGGTAGAGCGGGCAGCGCGGGCTCCAGCCGGCCGTGGGCAGCAGGGGTCACTCACACGGGGTCACTCACACAGGGGTCACACACTCAGTGGTCACTCAGGGGTCACTCACTGACCAGTGGTAGAGCGGCCAGCGCGGGCTCCAGCCGGCCGGGGGCAGCAGGGGTCACTCACACGGGGGCACTCACACAGGGGTCACACACTCAGTGGTCACTCAGGGGTCACTCACTGACCAGTGGTAGAGCGGCCAGCGCGGGCTCCAGCCGGCCGGGGGCAGCAGGGGTCACTCACACGGGGGCACTCACACAGGGGTCACACACTCAGTGGTCACTCAGGGGTCACTCACTGACCAGTGGTAGAGCGGCCAGCGCGGGCTCCAGCCGGCCGTGGGCAGCAGCCCCTGCAGGGCGCACGCCAGGTTCAGCCCCAGGTACGACGTCAGGCACAACCTGCATGGGGGGTGTGACGTCACTGCCGGCGCGCTGACGTCACGGTGACGTCACGGGGCGGGGGAGGGGTCACGCACACGGAGAGCACCGGGGCCAGCAGGTCCAGAGAGCCCAGCAGCACCCCCAGGGCCGCCGTCAGCACCGTGACGGCCAGCGGCCAGCGGCGGCCCCGCGACAGCGCCTGGGGGGACACCGAGGGGACACTGAGGGACATCATGGGGACATCATGGGGACACTGAGGGACATCATGGGGACATCATGGGGACACTGAGGGACATCATGGGGACACCATGGGGACAGGGACAGCCCCGCCCCAGGGCCGCCGTCAGCACTGTGACAGCGAGGGGCCAGCGGCGGCCCCGCGACAGCGCCTGGGGGGACAGGGACACTGAGGGACATGGGGACAATGAGGGACATCAGGGGGACAGGGACAGGGACATGGGGACAGGGACAAGGATATGGGGACATCATGGGGACATCATGGGGACACTGAGGGACATGGGAACATCATGGGGACAGGGACAGCCCCGCCCCAGGGCCGCCGTCAGCACGGTGACGGCGAGGGGCCAGCGCCGGCCCCACGACAGCGCCTGGGGGGACACCGAGGGGACACTGAGGGACACTGAGGGACATGGGGACAATGAGGGACATGGGGACAATGAGGGACATGGGGACACCGAGGGACATGGGGACACCGAGGGACACGGGGACAGTCCCCCCCAGGGCCGCCGTCAGCACCGTGACGGCCAGCGGCCAGCAGCGGCCCCGCGACAGCGCCTGGGGGGACACGGGGACATCATGGGGACATCATGGGGATGACACCGAGGGACATTGGGACACTGAGGAACACGGGGACAATGAGGGACATGGGGACACCGAGGGACATGGGGACAATGAGGGACATGGGGACACTGAGGAACACGGGGACAATGAGGGACATGGGGACAGGGTCAGGGACATGGGGACAGCCCCGCCTCAGGGCCGCAGTCAGCACGGTGACAGCGAGGGGCCAGCGCCGGCCCCGCAACAGTGCCTGGGGGGACAGGGACATGGGGACAGGGACAGGGACATGGGGACATCATGGGGACATCATGGGGACGCTGAGGGACATGGGGACAGGGACAGGGACATGGGGACACTGAGGGACACTGAGGGACACTGAGGGACACTGAGGGACACAGGGACATCATGGGGACAGGGACAGCCCCATGACAGCGCCTGAGGGGACACCAGGGGACACTGAGGGACATGGGGACACTGAGGGACATGGGGACACTGAGAGACATGGGGACAATGAGGGACATGGGGACACCGAGGGACATGGGGACATCATGGGGACATCATGGGGACGCTGAGGGACATGGGGACAGGGACAGGGACATGGGGACACTGAGGGACACTGAGGGACACTGAGGGACACAGGGACATCATGGGGACAGGGACAGCCCCATGACAGCGCCTGAGGGGACACCAGGGGACACTGAGGGACATGGGGACACCATGGGGACACTGAGGGACATGCCCCGGGGACATGGGGACACCAGAGGACGTGGGGACATGGACATGGGGACAGGGACAGGCACAGCGCCTGCGGGGACACCTGGACATGGGATAGGGACAGCCCCGGGGACATGGGGACAGCCCGAGGACAGTGGGACCCACTTAGGGACACTGGGACCCCTTGGGGACATTGGGGACCCCTTGGGAACATCGGAGACCCCTTGGGGACCCCCTTACCCTCTGGGGACATTGGGGACCCCCTGGGGACACTGGGACCCCTTGGGACCCCCCTGGGGACACTGGAGACCCGCTGGGGACACCCTTAGGGACATTGAGGACACCCTTAGGACCCCTCTGGGGACATTGGGGACCCCCTGGGGACACTGGGACCCCTTGGGACCCCCCTGGGGACACTGGAGACCCGCTGGGGACACCCTTAGGGACATTGAGGACACCCTTAGGACCCCTCTGGGGACATTGGGGACCCCCTGAGGAACACCAGGACCCCTTGGGGACATCCTTGGGGACACAGGGACCCCTTGGAGACCTCTTTGGGGACCCCCTTAGGAGCAGCTGGACTCCCCCTGGGGACACCGGGGACCCTCGGGGACCCTCGGGGACACTCACGCGCGGCAGCGGCAGCGCCCGCGTCCGCGCCAGCGCCCGCAGCAGGCGGGACCCCCCGAGCAGCGCCTGCAGCCCCGCGCCCGCCGCAGAGAGCGCCGCGCCCAGCAGCGGCAGCCAGCGCCAGGGCCAGGAGACAGCGGCCACCACGGGGACACCGCCCAGGGTGACACCGAACCTGGGGGACAATGGGGACAGACATGGGGACACCGCCCAGGGACACCCCGAACCTGGGGGACAATGGGGACAGACATGGGGACAGACATGGGGACACCGCCCGGGCAGCCAGGGCCAGGGCCAGGAGACAGCGGCCACCACGGGGACACCGCCCAGGGTGACACCGAACCTGGGGGACAATGGGGACAGACATAGGGACACTGCCCAGGGACATGGGGACAGACATGGGGACACTGCCCGGGCAGCCAGTGCCAGGGCCAGGCCATGGCCGCCACCACGGGGACACCGCCCAGGGTGACACCGAACCTGGGGGACAATGGGGACAGACATGGGGACACTGCCCAGGGTGACACTGAACTTAGGGGACACGGGGACAGAGTGGGACACTGCCCGGGGACAGCAGCCAGCGTGGGGACACTGCCTGGGGACGCGGGGACAGTGTGGGGACAGTGCCCAGAGTGGCACCGAAGCTGAGGGACAATGGGGACATGGGGACACTGCCCAGGGACACCCCGAACCTGGGGGACATGGGGACAGACATGGGGACAGACATGGGGACAGACATGGGGACACCGCCCAGGGACATGGGGACACCGCCCGGGCAGCCAGCACCAGGGCCAGGAGACAGCGGCCACCACGGGGACACCGCCCAGGGACACCCCGAACCTGGGGGACACGGGGACAGACATGGGGACACTGCCCGGGGACATGGGGACACCACCCAGGGTGACACTGAACCTGGGGGACACGGGGACAGAGTGGGACACTGCCCGAGGACAGCAGCCAGCGTGGGGACACTGCCTGGGGACGCGGGGACAGTGTGGGGACAGTGCCCAGAGTGGCACCGAACCTGGGGGACAATGGGGGGGGGGGGGGGGCAGGAGGACCATTGGGGACCCCCTGGTGACACTGGGGACATCGGGGACCCCCTGATGGCACTGGGGACCCCTGGGGACGCTGGGGAACCCTGAGGACATTGGGAACCCCCTGGGGACCCTTTAGGGACATCGGGGACCCTTCAGGGTCATTGGGGACCCCCCTGGCGACCCTGGTGACATTGGGGACACCCCTGGTAACATTGGGGACATCAAGGACCCCCCCAGTGACACTGGGGACATTGGGGACCCCCCGGTGGCATTGGGGCCCCTCCTGGTGACACTGAGGATATCAAGGACCCCCGTGGTGACATTGGGGATCCCTCAGGGATATTGGGGACCCCCCTGGTGGCATTGGGGACCCCCGTGGCGACACTGGGGACCCTTCCTGGGGACATTGGGGATCCCTGGGGACATCAGGACCCCCCCTGGTGACACTGGGGACATCAGGGACCCCCGCGGTGGCACTGGGGACTCCTTAGGGTCATTGGGGACCCCCCTGGTGACATTGGGGCCCCTCCTGGTCACACCGAGGATATCAGGGGCCCCCCCAGTGACATCGGGGACCCCTCAGGGATATTGGGGACCCCCCGGTGGCATCGGGGACCCCCGGTGTCCCCGTGTCCCTCACTTGTCCCGCAGCAGCTGTCCCTCCACGCCGGCCCCCAGCAGCAGCACCGCGCTCAGGTCTGCCGGTCAAGGAAAACCAAAAAAACCCCAAAACCCCCCAAAAACCCCCCAAAACCCAGCACCACAAAATTCCCCCAAACCCTCCCAAAATGCCCCCCAACATCCCAAAATCCCCCCCGGTTTCGGGGTCCCCCCGGGGTTTTGGGGTCTCCCCCCAGTTTTGGGGTCAGATCCAGCCCAGCGCCGTGGCCGTGGTGACCCCAGGTTTTGGGGTCCCCCTGTTTCCCCCCCATGCTCCAGAATCCCCCCAGTGTTTCGGGGTCCCCCCCGTTCTGGGGTCCCTCTCACAGTTTCGGGGTCCCCGGGTTTTTGGGGTCCCCCGTGTTTGGATCCAGCCCAGCGCCGTGGCCGTGGTGACCCCAGGTTTTGGGGTCCCCCTGTTTCCCCCCCATGCTCCAGAATCCCCCCAGTGTTTCGGGGTCCCCCCCGTTCTGGGGTCCCTCTCACAGTTTCGGGGTCCCCGGGTTTTTGGGGTCCCCCGTGTTTGGATCCAGCCCAGCGCCGTGGCCGTGGTGACCCCCAGATTTTGGGGTTCCCCTGTTTCCCCCCCATATTCCAGAATCCCCCCAGTTTCGGGGTCCCCGGGGTTTTGGGGTCCCCCATTTTTGGGGATCCAGCCCAGCGCCGTGGCCATGGTAATTCCCAGGTTTTGGGGTCCCCGTTTCCCCCCCATATTCCAGGATCCCCCCGATGTTCTGGGGTCCCCCCGATGTTTTGGGGTCCCCCCGGGGTTTCGGGGTCCCCCCGGGTTTCGGGGTCCCCCCGGGTTTCGGGGTCCCCCCGGGTTTCGGGGTCCCCCCGGGTTTCGGGGTCCCCCCGGGTTTCGGGGTCCCGTTTCCCCCCCATATTCCAGGATCCCCCCGATGTTCTGGGGTCCCCCCGATGTTTTGGGGTCCCCAGGGGACAGACATGGGGACACTGCCCAGGGACATGGGGACACCGCCCAGGCAGCCAGGGCCAGGGCCAGGAGACAGCCGCCACCACGGGGACACCGCCCAGGGTGACACCGAACCTGGGGGACACGGGGACAGACATGGGGACACCGCCCGGGGACACACCAAACCTAGGGGACAATGGGGACAGACATGGGGACACCGCCCAGGGACACCCCGAACCTAAGGGGACACAGCAGGGACAATGGGGACAGACATGGGGACACCGCCCGGGCAGCCAGCGCCAGGGCCAGGAGACAGCGGCCACCACGGGGACACCGCCCAGGGACACCCCGAACCTGTGGGGACAATGGGGACACTGCCTAGGGACATGGGGACACTGCCCGGGCAGCCAGGGCCAGGGCCAGGAGACAGCGGCCACCACGGGGACACCGCCCAGGGTGACACCGAACCTGGGGGACACAGCAGGGACAATGGGGACAGACATGGGGACACCGCCCGGGCAGCCAGCGCCAGGGCCAGGAGACAGCCGCCACCACGGGGACACCGCCCAGGGTGACACCGAACCTGGGGGACAATGGGGACAGACATGGGGACACTGCCCAGGGTGACACTGAACTTAGGGGACACGGGGACAGAGTGGGACACTGCCCGGGGACAGCAGCCAGCGTGGGGACACTGCCTGGGGACACGGGGACAGTGTGGGGACAGTGCCCAGAGTGGCACCGAACCCGCAGGGACAATGGGGGGGGGGGACAGCAGGGTCCCACCCCGGCCACCAGGAGCCCCCTGGTGACACTGGGGACATTGGGGACCCCCTGATGGCACTGGGGACACGGAGACCCCTCAGGGTCATTGGGAGCTCCCCTGGTGACACTGGGGACATTGGGGACCCCCTGGTGACACTGGGGACATCGGGGACCCCCTGATGGCACTGGGGACCCCTGGGGACGCTGGGGAACCCTGAGGACATTGGGAACCCCCTGGGGACCCTTTAGGGACATCGGGGACCCGCCCCCGGTGGGCGTGTCCCCCCGCGGCCCCGCCCCCCGGACTCACGTGCCAGGAGGCGCGCGCTGGGCCCGGGCAGGGCGGGCAGCGCCCCCTGCCGGCCGGGAGGACCGCGGGAGGCGTTGGGGGGGGCGCAGGGCAGGAGGGGCTCCCCGGGCCGGGGGGGCAGGCACAGCCTGGGGGCAATGCGGCTCGTCAGCCCCTCATTAGCATCTCATTAGCACACTGTTAGCGGGGGCGGGGCGTGACTCACGCGTGGGCGGGGTCGCGGAGCAGGGCGTGGCGCAGGGACCCCGCCTGCAGCGCCAGCAGCGCCAGCAGCAGCCCCGCCGGGCCCAGGGGCGTGGCCAGCGCCCGCAGGCGGGGCGGGGCCAGAGACCCCGCCCCCAGCAGCGCCAGCAGCCCCGCCCCGTAGCCACGCCCGTTGTTGAGGCGGCCCCAGCGGCCACGCCCCGGAAGCACCGCCCAGGCGGGGAGCAGGTACACCTGGGGGAGGGGACAGCGTGGCAGGCTCCGCCCACCCCCGTGGGCACACCCACAGGGGGAAGCCACGCCCATTGGCCCACCCTGACCCCGCCCAGCCAGGGAATAGGTACACCTGGGGGAGGGGACAGCGTGGCAGGCTCCGCCCACCCTTGTGGGCACACCCACAGGGGAAGCCACGCCCATTGCCCCACCCTGAGGTCACCCCAGCTCCTCCCTGGCTCCGCCCAGCCCTGGCCCCGCCCCCTGAACAGCAGCAGCTCAGTCCCGCCCAGCCCCTTAGGCCCCACCCAGTCTCATCAGCACCCGCTCGGCTCCACCCATGCCGTTAGCCCCGCCCATCCTTTAGCCCCGCCCATCCCGTTAGCCCCACCCCCTCACCAGCAGCTGGGCCGTGCCCATACCCGTTAGCTCCGCCCATCCCCATTAGCCCCACCCCCTCAGCAGCGGCTCGGTAGCGGGGGCGGGGCGTGACTCACGCGTGGGCGGGGTCGCGGAGCAGGGCGTGGCGCAGGGACCCCGCCTGCAGCGCCAGCAGCGCCAGCAGCAGCCCCGCCGGGCCCAGGGGCGTGGCCAGCGCCCGCAGGCGGGGCGGGGCCAGAGACCCCGCCCCCAGCAGCGCCAGCAGCCCCGCCCCGTAGCCACGCCCGTTGTTGAGGCGGCCCCAGCGGCCACGCCCCGGAAGCACCGCCCAGGCGGGGAGCAGGTACACCTGGGGGAGGGGACAGCGTGGCAGGCTCCGCCCACCCCCGTGGGCACACCCACAGGGGGAAGCCACGCCCATTGCCCCACCCTGACCCCGCCCAGCCAGGGAGCAGGTACACCTGGGGGAGGGGACCGCGTGGCAGGCTCCGCCTACCCTTGTGGGCACACCCACAGGGGGAAGCCACGCCCATTGCCCCACCCTGAGGTCACCCCAGCTCCTCCCTGGCTCCGCCCAGCCCTGGCCCCGCCCCCTGAACAGCAGCAGCTCAGTCCCGCCCAGCCCCTTAGGCCCCACCCAGTCTCATCAGCACCCGCTCGGCTCCACCCATGCCGTTAGCCCCGCCCATCCTTTAGCCCCGCCCATCCCGTTAGCCCCACCCCCTCACCAGCAGCTGGGCCGTGCCCATACCCGTTAGCTCCGCCCATCCCCATTAGCCCCACCCCCTC